TCATCGATCACTTTCCTCTTTGGCCCCATAATCTTCTTGATCAGAAAATTTGGGACACTACTGAGGTACATGACGTTACAGTACAAGTTCTCATATGGGCCAGGCTGATCTTGAACTTGCCACAATCCTCCCTCAGCCTCCCAAGTGGTGGGATTACAGGGGTACACCACCACGCCCAGCTTCTGTCCCTTGTATTTTGTCTGGGCTACCCATCCTTAGCATAAGCAGCACTCACCCCCAGGGAGGGCCTTCCCATTATCTACTCCCAGAACTGCGCCAAACCAATCAGTGAGCTTGTGTTGAGCTGGGTATGGTGGGGCATACCTACAGTCACAACATTTGGGGAGGCTCAGGCAGGAGGATCACAAGTTTGAGCCAAGCTTGGCCAATTTATCAAGCCCTGTCTTTAAAAAAGAGCTGAAAAAAACAAAACAAAACAAAACTGCAGATGTAACTTAGTTCAAAGACCCTGCAAAGATGTGTGTAGGGGTGATGTCTGACTCCATAAAGTTAAAATGGCAGTATCGTGATACTGGAGATGTGCTGGACTTCAGGGAGCATGTTGCTGGTCTGAAGATTTTTAGACAGTAATCATCCCTTGGCCTATTTTGATTGAGACTGCAGCTGTTCACTGATAACCCTGAGAGTGCTCAACACAGAAAAGATGTCACTCACTGCTAGACTGAGAGGGAACGAGGCTTCCATCTTCCCAGCATGTCCTTTTGGCAGCCTTGTCCTGTGTTTCGTGAAAACAATTTTTGTTCAGGTGGTTTTCTTGAATGGACGAGTTTGGAAGTCTCTAGACCTTTCTCTGTCAAATGACAATAGCTAGGCTCTCTCTTTAGCTTCATTGTGTATAATTTCATTGTTATGAGTTGTGTGAAAGCTGTGTCAAGTCCTCTGTGGGGAGGGGCAAGTATTGAGTTAAGAAAGGCAGTGTTTTTTTGATTTCTAATTGAGAAAAGCAAATTTCAAAGAGACTAAGTGTCAGTATTGGAATCCCTAGATATTACCAGGCACACAAGAAAGAATTGTACTAAGTGTCCTGTTCCCTGTAGGTGATCATTTGCTTAGTATGTGTTTCTAAACAGTTTTTACTGGGGAATTGGGTGTGGGCTGAGTACAATCCTCTTTCTGCCTCCTGGAGTGCGTGGCTTTGAACCTGAAGAAACTCATTGATTCCGAAGGCCTCTTTCTTTTCATCAGTAAGTTAGGGGGATTTCCACACGTCTTCCCAGGTTCCTTGACCACTGGAAAGGATGTTGAAAAACTCCACGGAATGAAATTTCATAAGAAAAGCAGAGAGTTTGAACGTCTTGGAGGCGATTCTCCGCGGCAGGGCTGCATTGTGTCATTACAGCACATCGGGAAGAGCAGAAATAGTGTCCTCATTTCAACAAATAAACATCCTTAATGTGACTTAATCTATGTTTTTGTTCTTTTACTTCAGGTGTTGTTTCGATTGATCACCTTTGTCTTAAATGCATTTATTCTTCGCTTCCTATCGAAGGAAATTGTTGGCGTAGTGAATGTAAGGTATGTGGGGGTTGCGCTCCGGCCCTGTCTGCTGTTCACATCCCTAGTTAGATTTTTTTCAAACTGTACTTGTGAGTTACCCTTAACTTTTAGAAGCATGGACCTTTACCAGAAACAGAGTGTTTAAGCAGTGGACTAAGGAGGAGTGAGGGATGCAGTGGGCCGCAGGGGTGGGGGATGAGCAGGCAAGTTGCTTTTAATGGACCCATGGAGTGTTTTCCATTAACAACCTCCAAATGCACATTTCTTTGCCAGCTGTTTCAATTTTCTTGCTCTCAGAACCCAGGAGAAGAGTGGGAGTAATTCACTGCAAACCTCATCTCAGGTATAATCCTGTGTTCTTGTCCTGCTGACAGCAAAAGAAGTGGGAGTTGTGTAGTTTGGGAGGATGTGTTTCATAATTGCAGAACTGGAGCTGCCACCTTCTTTCCCTCAATGACTTTGTAACTGAGACACGGTAACTGGGATCTGAGCTTGAGTCCTTGTTATTAGTTCTTTGGAGACTTAGATAGCTGAGCTTGCTTTGTCTTATAGACTTGGCTTGTTTTTTTCTACTCACCTCTTTTCTGTTACAGGACACCCACATATGTTTTGGATTCACAAATGAAACAAAAGTATATAAAATGATGTGAATGCTCAGAATAGCTTAGACTCTGAGTTGCTTATTCGTGCTGATAAACAAAAACAGTATGTTCCAGACAGCATTTCATATCTGCTATTTATGAAGCACGTGGTCTTGAGCTTAGAGGCAGTTTACAAACTTTGATTGGCAAGGGAATGTCTGGAGGTTTACACTAGGTAGAACTGAGGAAGGACTCGAGAATCTGCATTTTCACAAGCTCCTCAGGTGATTTTGAAGCAAAGACCATGTTTTGAGGAGTCATTTTAAAAGCAGAAAGGAAGAAAGCCAAATACTCTTACATGCCTTGATTTTTCTTCCCATGCAGCCCTAGATTGGCAGGCGCCTACATTGGCAGCTCTTGCATGGCCTGCCCATCTGGTTAAGGCATAGGTCTCTCTCCTCATTTGTATTGCTATACTGAGGCACTGTAGGACACTGCAGGACCCATGGACAACCCCAGGAACCTTAATCCTGCTTCCACTCTGACTTAATCTGGGCCACTGCCTTTTGAAGCAGGGAAACTTCAATTTTTCTTTGTTAAGGTTCAGGAAATCTTACCCTGGTGGCACATATCTTCAAGGTACCCAGCATGTGGTACCAGGGATTTAACCCAGGTCCTTGTGCTTGCTTAGGCAGGCACTTAGACCGCTGAGCTGTCTCCATGGCCCATGCAGCAACCTTTTAATGGTTGCCTGCTTAAATGCCTGCTCTGAGATTCTTCGGGCCAGTGACTCCAAAACAGTAATGTCTCAGCCTCTCACAGGGACTTTCAAGTCACTTCTGTCTAGTTTCATTGTGATCTAGAAGTTTCCTTGCTATGTGGCTTGTCCTTTTCTTCTTCTAGTCAGGGCTGCTACGTGCCTGCCCGTATCTGTGCCTACAGGCTCTTGGGGCCACTGTAGCAGTTTCTATCTCAGATGTTACTCTGTGGATGCACACATTCACCTGTGCCTTGTTTGGCTCCTAACTCTGTTGTTCACATGGATTGGATGGGTGAAAAGTCCTGTGGGGGTACAGTGCCCTACCCTTTACTATCAGGGGTGAGTGATCAAGGCTTTCTGTCCTCTCTATTTCTGGAAAACCCCTAAAAGTTCTCTCTATGAAGAACTGGAAGCCTTACTGATTTCTGCTTTTCCTTTACAGACTAACGCTGCTTTACTCGACCACTGTCTTTCTGGCCAGAGAGGCCTTCCGCAGAGCTTGTCTGAGTGGGGGTGCCCAGCGGGACTGGAGCCAGACCCTCAACCTCCTGTGGCTAACGTGAGTTGTGGCTTAGCAGGTGATGCATTCAGGAAAGCAAGTGTACTGAGTGTTCCAAGTGAAAGAGCAGCGCCTGCCTGAAGCTGCCTAGAGTCTCTAGGTTGAGTGCTGCAGTGCGTTTCTGGGGTTAGCCTTGTGATAAGAGGGGGAGACTGTGGATGGAGAGTCTTGGTTCATGTTCTCTGTGGATGTCCAGGAGCTGGGAGGAGGTGTATGTGGGGTTCCTGGGCCAGGTTTCTAGCCTAGGTGTCCTCTTTGGAGCTATTTCTGCTATTCTTGATCACCAGTCTGGGCCCCATTTGGCCTGTACCATTTTTTTTAAATCCTAATCTTTTGAGGGTTTTTTGGTTTTTTTTTTGTTTTTTTTTGTTTTTTTTTGAGTTTTTAACAAACAGTATTTTCTAAAAGCCTTTTAAAGGATTCATTATGTCTTTCTTCATTTTTGTCATGTGATTTTGGTTCTGAGTCTTTTGGAATATTCTTGAAAATCAAGTATATCAACTAAAAATTATAATGACTTTTCTGCACGTAGATCCCTGCACAGGTTGGCGGCTGTTTTTTTTTTTTTTTTTTTCTGATGCTGCCCTTGCGTAATTCCTTATTGCCTCAACAGAAATGACTGTCAAAGGGCTGGTAGGTGTTTACTTTATTATAGGAGTGGCTGTCAATTACCCAGTCACATTTAAGTGCTCTGTGGTACACATGTGAAAGGACGTTGTGCAGTGACTGTTGGTTATTTGGGGTACAAGAACCTCCTGGATAGTGTCAGTCAGTCTAAGTACAGATAACAGGCATTTTCCTTCTGGGAATTTTGCTTACCAAGTTAGTATGACCCAGGGGATAAGAATGTCGACTTTGGAGTCGGATCAGGATTGAATCTTACTTCTGCTCTTAACTACCAAATTACCCTGCCCTGTCAGCCCTGGTTTCCTCATCTTCCAAATGTGGGTAATGACAGAGCATCATTGTGAGATGTCAGTAAGATCTGAATCGTGGTGTCATGCCTGAGGGGAGTGCCTCCACTACCTACAAATAGCAAATTATTGTGGTAGTTGTTTTTATTTTGACTCTTAATCACTGTTACTCTTTCATTGTATGTTTATCTTTATTTTAAGATTTAATATTTTAAAATAAAACACATTTTTTCTGCCCTCGTAGAGTCCCATTAGGTGTGTTTTGGTCCTTATTCCTGGGCTGGATCTGGTTGCAGCTGCTTGAAGTGCCTGATCCTGATGTGGTGCCCCACTATGGAGCTGGAGTGGTGTTGTTTGGCCTCTCAGCAGTGGTGGAGCTGCTCGGGGAGCCCTTGTGGGTGCTGGCACAGGCACATATGTTCGTCAGGCTCAAGGTCAGTGTACCTTTTGCTGTGAGTGGGAATATAAAGAATAAAGTTAATTTTTTTTTTTTAATATGAGAATGATTTTTTTTAGACTTAGATCTTAAAAAACCTGAAAAAGCTAACATGATCACTTCAGTTGACTTACTTGAAATTATCAGATGGTTTTTGCCGCTAAAGTTTATCATTGCTAGACTATAAATTGAAATCAGATTTGCTAATAAGGAAGTTATTAGATTATTAGCTCAAATCAGAATTACAAAAAATTTAGGAGTACTATAAACCATTTCAGATTTTGGTAGTGATTCTATTTAGTTGAATATGAATAAACTTTTCATCTTTGAAAATTCAAAGTTTAATGTGTCTAAAATTATGTATAATAAAATTGTAATTATATGTAAACCTACGAACAAAACATGCTGAAGATGCATGAAACCATCATTCAACCTGAGAAGTAAAACATTACCAGGGCTTATGTCCAACCATACTCTGCCCCCTCCACCAGGGTAACTACCACCCTGGATTTTCTGTTCATCATTTCTTTGCATGTTTACTTTTTGATAATATCTATAAAGTGTGCCTTTACCCTGGATTTTCTGTTCGTTATTCTTTGCATCTTTTTAATGATGTTTGTGAAGTGCCCCTCTACCATGTGTTTGCAGGTGACAGCTGAGAGCCTGTCAGTGATCTTCAGGAGTATTCTCATAGCTTTGCTTGTGCTGTGGTTGCCTCACTTGGGACTGTATATCTTCTCTTTGGCCCAGGTAAGAGCTTTTATGTAGTCAGTTTCTCTGGTTTTTCTTCTTGTTCCCATCACTATGTGTTTTATGTGTGTAATGTCATGCCTGTGGGGAAGGCTGGAAGCGTCAGGAGGCTGACCCTGCTACCCCTTCTCTGGCTGCTGTGTCTAGCTTTCCTTCACACTGACACTGCTGGAACCCTTAGGGACTCTATACTCAGTCACATCGTCAAGAATCAAAAAGTCCAAAAGAGGCTGGGGAGGTGGCTCAGTAGAATATTTTGCTTGCCTGGCAAGCACAAGGGCCTGCGTTCAATCCTCGGTTCTGAAACAAAACAAAACAAAACAAAAGAATCAAAAAGTCCTTTTAGGCATTCTGTGGTCACACTCATATCAAACTTATCTTTGATTGTTTGATACTATTATGAAGGGGAAAAAAGTTTGGGAGGTGGGTGGGAATTAACTGTATATGTATTCTTTTCCTTGGATTTCAGTTAGCTGCTTACAGAATCAGAGGAAACTGACAAGCCTATTTTAAACTTAGATTGAAATCTTACATAATTCAGAAAAAACAAAGTCAGAGGAGGTACTTTTCAGCTTAGCCATTTTGACTTCATTTCTGTCTCATCATTTCTAGTTCTACTTCATATTCATGAGTCCAGTAAAATAGGAGTAAAGTACCAGGCTATTTTAAAAAGTGAAACCTAAGATTAGATATTTACCCAAGCATCTTATACTACAGAACAGTATGGTTTTTAATAGCATGTAGGAAGACAAATTAAGAGTCTTAGTAATGTTTTATGTGAATTCTTTCTCATGTTCTAGGCCAGAACTGTGTATGTTTTTGTGGAACATAGTAGAGCTAGATTTAAAATTAATAAAATAAGAATGAGAATTGCCAGCAAAAGCAATTCTCACTCTAGCAGTTGCACAGTTTAGAGCAGTTATCTGTGCTTGCTTTTTTTTTTGCTATAATTCTCATTGTATATCTTTGTTTTTACACATTCTCTATAGTGGAATGTGCAGGCTACAGAGGTACCTGGTTGTTGGATGACTCTTCTTAGGAAATGTGCTCACATGATGAGCGTCTGATTGTCGTAGCTCTTACCCAGAGCAGTGTAGTCATGTACATACACATCATAGTCAGCAATG